TAATCAATATTGACCATATTATATATATATATATATATATATCATTCATAATACGCTATATAAAACAAATCCGATGATTAAGATACTTTAACATAAGGAATAAAAATAATAGCCAACTAGTATTAATTAATGTAACCCAGCCTATTGGGTTCTATATTTCAATTAAATTTTGTGATCGTCATTTGATTCGGCAATCTCAAATTATCATAAATAAGAAATTATTCTACCTGAGGATTCTGTTTATGATAATTTGAGATTGCCGAATCGAATGAAGATTACAAGACTTGAAATATAGAATGTAACAGGCTGGGTCACTAGTTTTCTTACTTGGTTATTATTTTTAATTGTTATGTTAGTCTCTTTAAACTGAAAACTAAATAAAATCTGTTCCCAGATCTGGCCCTGCTTATAACGACTTAACGAGTTAAAATTATCTCTCATTGCTGAGTTATTCATATAGAACATCATACTGATATTACTATATACACATCTGTGGACTCTACATTCTTACACCACTTGAACTACCGGTCACTGCCTCATTCTCATCTTTACGTGCTTGGATCCTACCTTCGTTCAGAGATGAATTTCATAACTCTGCGGAACTTAGCATAACTTTTGACTAGGCCTGGGCATTCGGTTCGGCGGGTCGGTTCCGGGTTAAAACCGACCAGGTTCGGTTCTTTCGGTTATTAAATTTTGGACCCATTTGAGAACCGATAAATTTTGGTTTGGTTTTGGATCGGTTCTGACCGGATACGGGTCGGTTCGGGCTTAATTTATTAGAACCGAATTATAACCGAAAATCAAGGATAACCGTTCGGATTGGTTTTTTATTGGACCCAAACCAAAAATTAAACCGAAATTAGCTATTAAACCCGAAATTTAAAAAAAAAGCCAAAACTGCTTAAAAAATTTGAAGTTCTCAATAGTTAAAAGTGAAACGTAATACTGAATAAAGTTTTAAAACTTGAACAAATCATAAAACCAAATCAAAATCCTAAAACATAAGAACTTAAAATCCTAAAAAGTAGAGATCACTAGGCATTGCAAGAGTCTTTGGGTCGTATTCATATCTTAGCACTTGAAAAGTTGAGCTTCAAGACTTGAGCGTGAACACCTATAACATATACAAAGACACAAAGATACAAATCAGTAAACAAATGGCCACAAATTTACAAAAACGCAAGCATGAGCTATTCACCTATTCCCAAATGCAGTCATCACTTATCAATATGCAATGTTTACCACCTTACCTTTTGTTTTCCAAGTTCACAAAGACACAAACACGACATCAGCAGCCTCAGCCTCTTTGTATGTTGACTTCAGAATCGTTTTCTACATAAAAAAAGAAAGAATAATGATGTTATAAGCCGAAACTGATAATCAAAGACAAAGAGATAAATCAAAAAGATGTAACTTACGCCTCATGAGTTCATCTTCAAGCTCCACATCTGCAAGAAATTGTTCACAAGTTGAGACTCCTCTTTCATTGATATGAATCTCAGTTTTTAACTACTGTTCAGTACACATCAACACCTCAACCATATAGTGGGTCAAACAACTTCGGTATGGGCTTAACACTCTCCCACTTATGCTAAATGCAGATTCAGAGGCAACTGATGACACTTGCATTGCAAGTATGTCTTTCGCAATCAGTGAAAGAACAGGGAACTTGCCACTATTTCTCATCCACCAACCTAAGATATCATACTCTGTTCCCTTCATCACTTTTGGTTTGTCAACAGCCTCTTTCAGATAGATCTCTAGCTCATTTGTTGAATCGCCAACTCCTGTTTCTTCTACAAGCTCATCGTAAATGCTGTCCATGCGTTTATACCCAACACCATGACTCAGAAGACCTCTTTCAAAAACATCACCTCCATTTTGCTCTTGAGACTGCGAAAATTTCCCTTGGGACTGAGAAGAAGATGGTCCCTGTGATCCACTAGAACTATTCCTGTCTACTAAGCTACTGTACTCAGCAAACAAACTCTTCAATATGTCCTCTATAGAATCATAAAGCTGGTTAGCTTCGTGACTATTCTTTCCATATAGAGACTCGAAACAGAGTTGGGCAAACTTCATCTTCTTTCGTGGATCAAAAACACTAGCCACTATCACAAGCCTATTCATTTCATTCTTCTCCCTACAAGGATCCCAATACTTCTCTAGTTTACCAATCATAGCTAAAGCTTTACTCTTTAAAGAGTCATCGGCTACAGGAGAAGTACTAATAGCACTAATGTTTGACGTGATAGTGACTATTTCATTATAAACTTTGTGTGCAGCCACAGATGTAGAAGCTGATAGAATCAAAGTAGATTTGTAGAAAATAACAAGGAATTGAACCAACCTGTCAACTTTATCCCAATTGCTTGTAGTTGGTGGTCCAATCCGTTTTTTTCCTTCTACTTGTTCCAGAAAGTGGTCACCATAAGGTTTGTCTTCAGCCTCCATCCTCTCAAAAGCCAACCTGAACTTTAAAGCCTGTTCCAGCATGAGACAAGTAGAATTCCATCTGGTCTTCACGTCTAAAGGCAAGCTTCCTCTAGTCATCTTTCCTGTCTCTACTCGAAACTCAAAAGACTTAACTTTGTTTGTAGAAGATCGGACATAATGAATTGCATTCCTAATAGCAACAATACTATCATCTTCTTCTGCCAAACCATCCTTCACGATAAGGTTCAAAATATGTGTTGCACACCTTAGATGCAGGTACTTACCGTTAAGAACCAATGCATCATCGCCTTGTTGCATAAATGCTTCCTTGAATCTCCTCATTGCCGAGCTGTTAGCTGTTGCATTGTCCACAGTAATTGTAAACACTCTTTTAATCTCCCACTCAGCCAAAACCTCCAGCAGAACATTGCAAATCGTTGGTCCTGTATGATCAGAAACGTTCTTGAACCCTATGATCATCTTCCTTAATCTCCAAGATGCATCAATAAAATGGGCTGTAACCACCATGTAACTCGTACTAGTATATGGAGCAGTCCATATATCTGTTGTCAGCGACAGTCTCTGCTTGTTCTCCCCAAGAATCTTCTTCATTTTCTCCTTTCGTGCAACATACATTGCCACAATATCTCTTGTAGCTGTTCTCCGGGACTGAGGAGTGTGCAGTTTACATTTCGAAGTGAAATGCCTCCAAGCAACACTCTCTATGAACGCTAATGGCAACTCCCCTAAAACAAGCATCTCAGATGAAGCCTCTCTAAAGACAAGTTCAGAGACTTTACCTAAACCCAGCATCCCATCTTCACCGGTAGGAGATAATACTGTCTGGTTCATGTCTTTGTTTGCAGCCTTCCATGCTCGGTATGACTTGCAACCAAAAACGATGTGCTTCTTCAGACTAGAAGTCCCTGACTTGGTTGGACATGACATTTCACGGCCACAGTAGTTACAATTACATTTATCATAATTGTTCTTCTGCCTGGTGTAGTGTTCCCACATCTTCGACCTTGTCTTCTTTGTACCCTTAGAACCAGAACATTCAGAAGCAGACTCTTTCCTCTTGCCTGTCTTCCGAGTACAAGGAGTTTCAACATCTTCATCTGTGTCATCAAGGACATCGTCAATGTCATGCATTGGAATATCAGTGCTCGGTGGATATTCAGAAGAGGCCATCTGCGAAAGTTTAGAACAACAAATCAATAAACGTTTTAATTGAAACTTCATACAAGTTTCAAAGTTCAACTTCAACAGATCAATCTCTAAAGCTTCAGCAGTTCAGCTAAGTAACTATATCACTAATGTATCACAGAACAGAACACAATGAAGCAATCACCAAACAAAACCAACATCAACTTACTTGAGTTCTTAAGTTCATTTAGAAGTGTCTATCATCTGCTATATATGTTTGTGCAATAATATCAACGGTTGACATTCATACAAGTTAACAAAACCTCACATGATCACATTCAGTCGACAAGTTAGCAAAACATCAAGCCAAAAAAACACCACATCATTCGCAGAAATATAACATTCGGTCGATAGATATAAGATCACTGATTCAGTGAAATTCATCCAAGTTAACAAAACCTCACAATCTCACATTCATTCGACAAGTTTAGCAAATCATCAGTCGCCAAAAAAAACCTCACAAATCACAATCTAACATTAACAGAAATGTGAAAAAACACCAACCTCACACAGAAAAAGACGACTGAAACGTGAATCAATTAAAGGAGATTTACCTCAGAGTTATTTCTCGACGATGCAGTTGAAAGAGATGGAGATTGCGAAGAGAAGGCAGCTAGGGATTCCAGTTTTGTAGTTGGGGCTTGGAAATTGGGGTTGCTTTTATAATTCGATCGATCGAGACGATATTGGGAAGTAGATTGTGTTGCGAGATCGTCGGTGAGCTGGGAAGATTCAGCAATATTCTCGGATGGATTGAATTTGGAAAATGCAGAGAAAAATCGAGAGAAATTTGGGGAAAATCAAATCAAAAGAGGAAACTTCGTGTACACTATCGGGTCTATCCATAGAACCGGATCCAAACCGTTACCCACGGGTCGACAAAACAAGATCCATCGGGTAATTAGGTCAAATTCGAATCCGATCCGAACCATGATTATCGGGTCGGTTCCAGGGCGGGTTTTCGGGTCCGGCTAATATGCCCAGCCCTACTTTTGACAATTATAAAGTTACAGTACATTGGATTTTATAGTTTTGATAGTGTGTAATATTGATGTTGTTGTCTCACCAACATGTGTAAGTTGACACAATAAATGATACTCTTTTACAACATGGGTTACCGCCTCTTTTAAACAATCTTGGACAGCTATTATTTCCTTAAATAAACTCTTTTTACAACATGGGTTACCGCCTCTTTTAAACAATCTTGGACAGCTATTATTTCCTTAAATAAACAATTACCATCTTGATTAGATATTATTGGAATTGACTTAAGAGCACCAGTATAAAGACAGAATGCAACCCTAAACCCTAAACCAACGTATCCAAAATTGTTGTAAAGAAAGAAAAAACCTAATATGGTATATGTTTATGAGTTTTGGGGCGTAATAGTTTCACTCATAGTGGTAAAATGTTTTCACTGGATTTATCAGTGGAGCAATCCAAAGTGTAATGGAAAACTTCCTCCAGGGTCAATGGGTTTTCCGATCATCGGAGAGACTTTTCAGTTCCTGAGGCCTCATGACGCTCTTCAGTTTTCAACATTCCTCAAGGAGAGAATCCTCAGGTTCTTCTGCAAATTTCTGTAACATACGTTGATTTTTACGTATGTTTTAAAATATTTTTCTTAATTATTCCCAAGTTACTTATACATTACGTTATCTCTGCTTTGGTGAAAAAAACAATAGGCATGGACCACTTTTTCGGTCAAGCTTATTTGGAGGAAAAGTTATAATCTCGACGGATATTGAATTGAATATGCAGATAGCAAAGACAAGTCGTATTCCTGGCGTCACGAAGAGCATAACACGGCTATTTGGGGAAAACAATTTGTTTATACAAAGCAAGGAGTCCCACAAACATGTCAGAAACTTGACATACCAGTTGTTGGGTTCACAAGGTTTAAAATTGAGAATTTTGAAAGACATCGATCTCTTGGCCCGTACACACATGGAAGAAGGAGCTAGGAACGGTTTCCTTGACGTCAAGGAAACACAAAGCAAGGTAAAACAAAAGTCATCCATTTAATGTTGTCTTTATCTCTTGACACTACTACTATCAACTAGTTTGTATCATGAAACGCTACAGATCTCAATTGAATGCCTTGCGAAGAAAGTTATGGGCGAGATGGAACCAGATGTGGCGAAAGAACTTGCCCTCTGTTGGAGAAATTTTCCGAGTGGCTGGTTTCGGTTCTCTTTCAACCTCCCCGGGACGGGTGTCTATAACTTGATGAAGGTAAGTGTTTTCAGTAACATATGCATATGGTTTTTTTGTGCAAAGTGATCTGAGGCCACGATGGTAAACGTTTCGTGGCAGGCAAAAAAGAAGATGATGAAGTTACTAAAGGATACAGTGTTGAAGAAGAGAGCATCAGGAGAGGAGTTTGGGGAGTTCTTTAAGATCATCTTTGGAGAAATGGAAGGAGGAGACGAAATGATGAGCGTAGAGAATGCGATCGAGTACATATATACCTTCTTTCTGATTGCTAACGAAACAACTCCCCGAATTCTTGCGGCTACAGTAAAGCTCATTAGCAAGAACCCTAAAGTCATGCAAGAGCTGCAGAGAGAGCATGCGGAAATTGTCCGGGGTAAGACTGATAAAGAGGCCAGCCTAACTTGGGAAGACTACAAATCCATGATTTTCACGCAGATGGTAAGTAAATGCCCAAATCATACGCGCATATATATATATATATATATATATATATATATATTATTAGGGATTAGGAAGTGTGTAACATCAGAAGTTTGAAGGAACCTTAAGTAATATAAAAAACTTGAGTGAAGTCGCTCATTGTCAATTGGTGCGACTCCCTTCATTGCTTAGTATTGATTTTTAATAGGAAGCCAATAAACTTTATCATATATGGTTTAAACATATATGGTTCAGGTTATCAATGAGTCGTTTAGAATCACAAGCACGGTGCCAACAGTGCTTAGAGTAACAGATGATGATTTCCAAGTTGGTGACTATACAATTCCAGCTGGTTGGACCTTTATGGGCTATGCTAGTGTCCATTTCAATCCAGAAAAGTACGATGACCCTTTAGTATTTAATCCATGGCGCTGGAAGGTATATTTTAAATTTGATCTTTAGCTAACTCACTCAAATTTATAGAATTTTTTTTTAATAGAAGAAATTAATTTTCCAGGGAAATGACTTGGGTGCGATCGTCTCCAAGACTTACATTCCATTTGGCGCAGGTCCTAGACTCTGTCCAGGGGCTGACTTCGCTAAGATGCAGATGGCCATTTTTATCCATCATTTGTGTAGACACAGGTTCACTTTTATCACCTAATAACTCAATGATCAATTACATTCGTACTATACAGTCAAATTCTTTACTTATATATAAACTTTTAGCACCTAATCACTCATGACCAATTACATTTGTAATATAGTTAAAGTCTTTACTTACATATATACTTACGGTTTGCAGGTGGTCAATGAAGGCAGAGACCACAGTAATTCGAAGGTATATGCTTCTGTTTCCACGTGGATGTGATGTTCAAATCGCGGCTGACAGCAAAGTGGATAACTCGGCTGGTTATATACCATTCGAGGTTCTTGGTTCGAATACCGTAATAAAGTAGAGTTGTATATAGCTTCTGAGCTCTCCTAAATAAAAGCTATATATATATATATATCTAAGTATCTAATGATATAAAAAAAGTTATGAAAGTTTACTTTTATTTTTAGTGTTAAGTTATGAAAGTTTACTTTTATTTTTAGTGTTTTCTTAATAATGTAATCAAATAATTGTTTATCGACACATTTTATAGAAATCTACACTTGTCTGTGGTTTCTCTTTCATACATAGTTAGAGGAGAATTAATAGACTTTTATAGATAACGTACAAGTTATCTTGATATTAATTGACTTTTATATGTAACATATAATTACTATATTAACATCGATATTTAGACCGATAAGTGTCAATTTTAAACGAGTGTGTTATCATGTGGGGTACTTTTAAATTTCTAATGTCCAAAATATTTACTTTTAAGTTTTAATTACCAAAAGACATATTTTTTCTTCTGATTGGTTGAGATAAATGAATGTTTTAACCCTTTTGCCTTTTTTTCTCACACACCTCCTATAATTATTTGTTATTATTTATCTATTATTTAAAAAAATAACCGAATAGTTATTTTGACACTATAAATTATAGAATTTTTTTCTTAATACTTTAATACTTATTTTATATTTTTTAACTTAAATTATTTTGTCGTTTAGTGAAACACATACGTATCTATATAGTAGTGTCCACGTGGACACAAATATATAGATATCTACGCAATTATATATATGTATATACTATATATATATGGATATCTATACAATTATAGATATATATATATATGCATATCCACGTACATAGAATATAGATAGATGTAACTATATAGATACACATATATATATATATATGTGTATCCATATAGTTACATATATATATAGACACAATTATATAAATATATATGTATATCCATGTGTATATATTATAGATGGATGTAACTATATAAATATAAGTGCATATTTACATGTATATCTATATAGTTGCATACATATAGGTGGGTCCAGTGCGATTTAGTGTGTGGAAACTGATGAATTAAAGTGGGTCCAATGCGATTTAGTGTGTGGAAGCTAATGAGTGAATTTAAGTTGGTCCCATATGTTTTAATATTTTTCTGTATGTAAATAGAAAATAAAAGAAAAGGAGAGCAAAAAAGTCAAGAAATGGAAGCAAAGTAAGATAAATCCACACTTTCTAGAAAATGCCTTTTTGGCAATTATATTTTCAAAAAGTACAACTAATGGTAATATTCTCATTTTAAATAGATACTGTAGTTAATTAAATGAAGTGACTTACTCGTGAATTTTGTATAGTTTGATGACTTAACTTCTACTTGAACGTGTGTATTTAGATCGATAACAGTTAATGTAACTCGGCTATAAAGTTAGTGGAATTGTGGTATCCATGTAACATACGTTCGATATAAGATATTTATTTTATTTATTTACTTATAGCTTTTTTTTTTTAAATCTTTTTTATTATATTACAAGAACAATTTTTCAAATGAGAATTTATCCGCTACGTTTGAATCTACGCAGCTTGGAACCACAACGAACGGTTCTCTTTTCACCATGTTAAAATTTCTTTATAAATCTCTCTTCAATAATAACCTGCAGAAATCGCATTTCTCGGGAATTGAAACCCAGACATTTTAGTATAAAAGCATTAATGAACCTTTAGTCAACCACTAGACTATGGCGCTTCACTCTACTTGTTAACAAATTGTTTCTTATACCTTTTTCACTTAATTATACAATAATATCTTCTCCATGTTTACTTAGATATTTTTTTAGCATTGAATGCACCCATCTTCATTCTCAATATCTTCACCATCACTCCAGTATGGGCATTGAAACTCAACTAAAGAGATGAAATAGAAAAATTCAAAGCCTCTGAATTATCGTGTTTCTGTTTTACAGCTCCCGAGCCAGATCTTTGTTGACAAGATTCAACACTAACATATATCCTCAACCACTTCTTCCATAATTTCCAACCTTTTTTGCGCATAGACTTCATAAACTTTGTGAAAATTTGTCTTCAGAGGTTCCAACTTGCAACACATTATTTTTCTTATGTATGGTATTAGACCCACATGGAGCTAGACTTAGCTCCTAATAGTTGACAATTGTAATCCGTTGTCTTTTACAATTAGTATTAGTTACCTCTTGCAGATGAAAACACTTACAGCTGTTTTTCTCTTGAATAAACAGTTATTATCTTAATGAATTATAGTATTCACAGTAGAATACGTAAAAGATAAGTTTTATTTAAGTCATGATAAACGGATATAAGATATATATATATATATATATATATAGAATTAAAATATGATTTTTTTTTTTTTGAATGTTGGGTATATGGAAGTTCGAACATATAGATTTACAGGGTAAAAAAACTATAGTATTGTCCCCTTAATACTTTCTCAAACTTTACCATTTTAGAGAAAATATCCTTTATTAATAATTACGAAAATTAAAAAAAAAATACTTTTATAATCTAAATTTTTTTTGAAAAATCAGAAATAAAAAAATACCAAGACATTTCGTAACATCTTTTTTCAAAAAAAAAATTTCAAAACAACTTTTTACAAATGTTTTAAGAATTAGTAGAAAGTGTATTCTATAAATCTATAATTTTATAGAATAGGCTATCTACTATTTCATTAGTTTTCTACTAAATATATAGAATTAGTTATTTACAGTTCTTCTATGTTCTATAAAGATATGAAACCGTATTATATAACCTTTCATTGTTATACAGTTTAGTAGAATTATATTTTTATAGTTACCTCTTTGTTCTACATCTTAGTAGAATTGCATTTCTATGGAAACTCTTTGTTCTACAATTAGAAAATACTTATTCTATAATTCGGTTAACTGAATCTCCAAGAATCTAGGATCAGATCTAGAAAATATATTTCTTTTCTTTTTGAATTATTTAATTTCCTAATTATTTTTTTAAATTTTGTTTTTAGAAACTAAATTCTGTCAACATTTTTTGCTTCTTCTCCTCAACTTATCGTTTTTTTCCTTATTCAACCTACAAACTTTCACGTTTTCTTCATAATTTTTACGTTTTCTCCTTGTTTTTTCGTTCTAATTACCTTAAAATATGTTACATACCTACGTAATTGTTTTTGCTGAAGTTGTTCTACCGATGGAGTAGACGGATGAGATAAGAGGACGACACCGGTCGATATGACTTACCGGAGTGAAGGTGCACCGGAGACTACACCGGCGGAGAATTCCGCGTTGAACTTTTTTTTTCTTCGTCGAAGAAGAAATTGGTAGGAGGCTGATTCTACAATATTTTGGGTAAATGTAATTTTTTTTATATAATTTAATATGACTAAAATAAATATTACAGTTTTTTATTATTCTGGGTAATTTTGATTTTAAGGGTAGAAGAGGATAAATAAGATGTAGAAGTATTAAGGAGACAACTTCCAAAATTAAAGTATTAAGGGGACAATAGTAGTGTTTTTTTCTTATATTTTTAATTCTTTCTAGATTTACTGGGTGAAAGACTGCTTCTTTTTGTCTTTTTCGGTTCAAAGGGTGAAAGATTGCTTTTAACCACTTGTCCCACCACTAGAAATAATGAACATACCAATCCCCCTGCGTATCAACCAGAGTAGAGCACTTACTTAAAGGGAGAGTATTTCATTAGAGAATCATGCAAGCCTAAACCCTAAAACCAATTAACATCTTCAAAAATATGAAATAAATTAACATGGTAGAGAGTTTAAGAGTTTTGGACTCTGATGGTTTCACTCATAGAGGTGAATTTGCTATTTCATTGGATGCGCCAGTGGAGAAACCAATAACTAGAGAGCAAGCAGTGAGTCTCCGCTTCAATTTATAACTCTCTAACAACTTGTATTAATTACCTCTTTTAAATACACAAGAACAGCTGTTTTTCCTTACATAAATCGTTACCATCTTCTTGTTTATTTAAATATATGTACTATTCGACCAGAGAGCACTAGTATAAATTAAAGTGAGAGTTCCCTCCTCTCTCAGAAACAGAGAGTTCCCTCCTCTCTCAGAAACACTAAAACTAACCTACTCAAAATATCTGAAAGAGAGTTTCTGAGTTATGGACTGTGAAAGTTTCACTCATAGTGGTGAAACTTTGTCATTGGCTGTATCTGTATCAGTGGAGAAATCCAAAGTGTAGTGGAAAACTTCCTCCAGGGTCGATGGGTTTTCCAATCATTGAAAGAGACTTCCCGGTTCATGAAACTTCATGATGCCTTTCAGTTGCCAGCATTCTTGACGAAAAAAATCCACAGGTTACTTAATTTATGTGACCTAGTTGATTTATAGTGCATGCATTTTCCATGTATTGTTTTATATTCTTGTTTGTGGTAATAAACTTTACTGTTGTCTTTTATTAATAGACATGGACCAGTTTTCCGGAAAAGCTTATTTGGAACCAAAGTTATTATCTCTACTGATATTGGATTGAACATGGAGATAGCAAAGACTAATCATGTTCCTGGTGTGCCGGCAAGCTTAGCACGGCTTTTTGGGGAAAACAATTTGTTTATACAGAGTAAGGAGTCCCATAAAACATGTCCGGAGCTTGACAACATATTTTTTAGGATCACAAGGTTTGAGATTGAGGATGATGCAAGACATCGATTTCTTGGCTCGCACACACATGGAGGTAGGAACTAAGAACGGTGTTCTTGACGTCAAGAAAACAGCAAACAAGGTGAT